GCAGATGATCAAGCCCCACTTGAACAATCCAGTGCGTGTGGCAAGCAGTTCATTTTCGAGCAGTTGAAGGCCATGATCAAGACAAGCCAGCGCAAGAGTTTTTCTGAGGAAGGCCTGCCAACGTTCATGACCAAGGCAGCATGCCTTCGCAGGATGATGGCCATATCGCAGACATTGAGGACGTTTGTGAAAACGGTCCGAAAAGGCGGAGGGCATTTTGTCGGGGCCTGAGTGTTTTTTTGTAGGTCCTAGATTTCATGGGCTCTCACGAAGACACGGCAACATACGGCCATTGCATTTGCACCATTCACCGCTTTCACTTTTCCGCAGTCATGTTGGAGACGTCCCTCACTCGCAGCTTACATTTCGATATCTCACTCTCACTCTATCTCAAGCGCCTCTGCTGTTGTGCAGCCATGGGTTCTGTACCACACAAGTAAGCTACAAAAACCAACACATGTGTATTGCTGCCGCCTACAAGAAACCGAGCTGTTATACCACATGTTAGTACCACAGTTGTAATATGTTGCAATATCACTCACCCCAAAAAAATTACAGGAAAAGTTCTGGTCTCACTCACCCTCTCTCACCGGGATATGTCGGGATAACTTTGTGGGGGGGAAGTTGGCTTTTCCTTTCCAGTGAGTGAGGTCCCACACGCAGATTGGCGGCGCTCGTCCCAATAAGAACATGCGGAACCTGCTGGTGAGCCACATTCATCGGGCTAAGCAGTTCAACAAGTTTGCCGCCGCCCGTGGATCCAGAATGCTTCACTGGATGGCAGCGTAGGCTGAATTCGTTCGTGTGCGCAACCCACACAAGCAGCTGCTGCGCTGTAGGCAAGTGTCAAAAGGTGGTCTGATCACTTTCCACTTGGCCCTGACGTTCGTTCGCTGTCTACAGGGGCAAACGCAATGCAGCGCCTTTGTTCCAACCCGAGCTCACCAAGGGCTCGAAGGGCAAAGAGGTAGTGGCAGATTCAACCGAGGGCTTGGCAGACACGAGCTTCGCTGGCTTCGCCGTGAATATTTTTGTCCTGGGCGCAAGTGGCTAAAAGAACATCTAGCAGTTCTTTGCAAAGCTTCCCAAGGCACATGCAGGCGCTGGAGTGGAGCTTCTTGACAATACCGGCGGCTTCAAGGTCAGTGGTGCCTTGTGTACTTGGGAATCCCTTTGTGCAAGAAGCGCTCTTTACTTTGAGTATGTGGAGAAGAAGGACAAGAAGACACATAGCTCTGGAGTCTTTCACACATTGGCAGAGCTCCCAGAGTGCAAAAGCAATGAGTGTAGACTGGGGTTGGGGGGCCTCAACAACTGTAGCTTACAACTATAGAGGTTCCACACTTCATGCACACAGTGCACACACATGATCACACAAGTATACAATACTTTTTAACAATATTTGTACTGTATATGAAAAAGTTATATAAAGTTATTCATTGTACAAATATTGCAGTTAGCCAAGGTATTGTAAAAACATCAGGAAAACGATGACATACAATAACATCAAGAGCGGTATAGGGGAAGCAACCGGGGCTTTTACGCCGTTTACGCGATCTCAGCTGAGGTTTGTCCCTGGAACCTATGGTGACAAGAAGAAGAAGGGACACACAGAGTCACCAAAGACAAAGCTGACCAACTTCATCCGCAAGGTCGCGCCACCGTTGCGCCTGGGGACATTTCGTGATCCTTTTTTAGGATGTAAAGGTTTGCAATTTCTTGACAGGCCGTCTTTGCAGGCCGGATCAAAACGATCCATGGGGATTTAGTGAAGCAAACTGAATTCTGGGATCAAAAGAAGAGAAGCAAAGTGCAAAGCATGTCAGTGTCACTGCTTCGAGCATGAACAAACACAGAAAGGCGTTAAGAAAGTGAAACCTACAAACTAGACGACGAGTGGCCCGAAAGCATTTTTCATCACGTAGGAAGTCAGAGTGTGAGTTATCTGTTAAGTGTTCAGTGTGAAGTGTTAAGTCGTGTGGGTTGAGGCAGTGTGTGGGTCTCTGTGTGTGTGTATCTATGTCTGTGTGTGTATGAGTCTCTGTGTGTGTGTGTCCGAGTAAGTTGAGGCAGTGCGTGGGTCTCTGTGTGTGTGTGTCAACCTGTCAAGAGAGCCGGGTGGTCGGGAGACATGACTCAGCTGCAGGGGCGCCAGAGCAGCTGCGAGAGATGACTCAGCCGCGTACTCAAGTTGTACTACAAAGTCGCCAGTTCTCATCTTCCAGCTCCCCAGATACTCCGCGCACTAAAGTTGTACTACAAAGTCGCCAGTTCTCATCTTCCAGCTCCCCAGATACTCCGCGTACTAAAGTTGTACTACAAAGTCGCCAGTTCTCATCTTCCAGCTCTCCAGATACTCCGCGTACTAAAGTTGTACTACAAAGTTGCCAGTTCTCAGGTTCCAGCTCCACAGACTGCTCCACGTACTACAGTTGTACTACAAAGTCATCAGTTCTCATCTTCCAGCTCCCCATATACTCCGCGTACTAAAGTTGTACTACAAAGTCGCCAGTTCTCATCTTCCAGCTTCCCAGATACTCCGCGTACTAAAGTTGTACTACAAAGTCGCCAGTTCCCAGCTTCCAGCTCCACAGATTGCTCCGTGTACTAAAGTTGTACTAGAAAGTTGCCAGTTCTCATCTTCCAGCTCCCCAGAGACTCCGCGCACTAAAGTTGTACTACAAAGTCGCCAGTTCTCATCTTCCAGCTCCCCAGATACTCCGCGTACTAAAGTTGTACTACAAAGTCGCCAGTTCTCAGCTTCCAGCTCCACAGATTGCTCCGCGTACTAAAGTTGTACTACAAAGTCACCAGTTCTCAGCGTCCAGCTCCACAGATTGCTCCGCGTACTAAAGTTGTACTACAAAGTCGCACTCTCGCCTGCATTTCGCGCACTCGACACGCACGATCTCCGCAGAGGGTTGCGCGCACAGCCAGCAAATCGCACTCTCGCCTGCATTTCGCGCACTCGACACGCACGATCTCCGCAGGGGGTTGCGCGGGCACCCGGCACATCGCACTCTCGCCTGCATTTCGCGCACTCGACACGCACGATCTCCGCAGAGGGTTGCACTTTCGGTTGACGCTGTTCGTCCCGCACTCCGCCTTTAAGAGAGAATTTATAAAGTGGGGAAATGTTTTTTCATTAGGACATCTCCCGTGCTAGTTTTCCATACTCACACTTGCCTACTCATTGCATGCTTGCATACTCACGCTTGCATATCATGCTTGCATACTTACACTTGCATACTTTGACACTGGCATACTTCGCACTTGGATGCTTTCGCTCTTCCAGTGTGTGTGTGTGTAAGTGTGAGTGTCGAAGTGTAAGTGCCGAAGTGTCAGAGTGTTCAAAGGATTTTCCGGAAGAACCCTTCGCAATGCTTTCGGGAAAAATGTAAGCTACACATTCCAAGTCTTTTCGAAAATGTAGCGTACATTTTTCAACCCAAAGAAACAAAAACGTAGCTTACATTTAGACAGCCCCCCCCCACTTTGGGGTGGGGCTTGTAGGTATGTATGTATGATGTATGTATGTATGCATGTATCCATGCATGTGTGTATGGTGTATTGTATTGTATTGTAATGAAATGCAATGTAATTAATGTAAAGAAATGTAATGCAATGCAATGCAATGCAGTGCAATGTATGTATGCATGTATGTAATGTATGCATTGTATGTACTGTATGTTATGTCTGAAATCTATGTATTGTATTGTGTTGTGTCGTATTTTCTTGTCTTGTCTTGTTCGGTAATGCAATGTAATCGTATGTACGTATACGTATGTTTGCATGTACCAATGTAATGTATAGTAATGTAATAATGTATGTATGCATGCATGTATCAGCACAATCCGCTCGATGAATCAGCACGATCAAGCAGCAGAAATCGCACCGACTTAGGAAAGCCGATGTCCTCGAAGCTTTGCGGGCATGCGGACACAGTCCTCAAGATGTGACGTGGCATTGAGCATCAGAATCTCTGGGATATTGATATGGTATGATTCTGATATGTACTGCTGCTAGCAACCATGGTTTTGTTCAATTTGGTGCGTCGGAGGTATTGGATTTCAAAGAATTTGCGAAAATCATCAGAAACAAGTTTGCAGAGCAAGATCCGCTTGCAGCAATGCTGACTACGTGACTGGGCAAAGGGCAATGGCAATAAGTGGGGTTGAGATGAGTGGCGCAAGCACGCCGGCACACACACGGACAGATTACAAGATCGCACTTGAGATCATGGCCCGAGGTTCCGCTTGTTTGATACCTCCGGTGCGGGCCGCCTTTCCTTGCGAGATGTGCGACGAGCAGTCAAGGAAACCAATCTCCCGATTGCTGAAAATGAGAGCCTTGGGTGCACAGTGGAGCCCAACAACAATTGAATACAGGGCGGAATGTGTTTGAGAAATGTGTGCGATATGATTGACCTTTGTCAGAACAAGGAAGTTGGTACAGCAGAACATTTCACAAATCAGTGGGCCATGGATGGCCATGGTGGGTTTGGGGTGCCAGTTGTTGTTGTTGTCGTTGTTGTTAACGTTGTTAATTTTTGCTGGAATGGTTGCCCAAAGTGGACTGAGGCTAGAGAGGATGATATCCTTCTTTGATCAGAATGGAAGTGGAACTGTTGGCGAAGCGGAATTTGTTCAAGCATCTTGGCTGGCATTTGGCTGGGTCCAGCAAGGAAAATTACTGCTGTTGAGGTCATGGTGGCGACCGACCTGCTGTGATCCTTTTCCTGCCATGTTTGTGCGACTTTTTTCCTAACTCAGACGCCAAAGCGCTGGGACAGGTGAGGGTCAGCATAGCTAATTCGACCTAATGCGGCCAATGTTGACTGCCGGCTTGGTTGTTTGTTGAGAGGCTTCTGAGGTACAGAGTTAGATAAAGTGAGCAACTTTGAGCTGGCCTGTCTTGTGTTTTTTGCTTCACTTTTTGACCTAAGAAGATTGATCGACTCCGTTGGGGGTATTGCTGGGCATTGCCGGCCCGTGTCTCAGGTTTAAATGACCTGTTGGCTGAGCTCTCAGTGGACTGACAACACTGCAACAATAATAGTAATATAATGTAATATATAGATTATATAGTAATATCAATGGCAAGTTGCATGCCCAGATGAGTGACTTACGGAATGGCGCATTTTGGTCTTTGTAGCTTGTTCTACACTGGAATAATGCTTGATTGAGTGTTGAAGACCTTGACACTTGAGACCTTGACAGCTCCCCAACCGAGGATTACAACAGTGCAACAGATCATGAGGAAGGTGGGGTAGGTGGTGAGCTGAGCGGATAGACTTGATTTTGGTGCTGAACTTTGATAAGATGATGGTCAAAGGTTCATGGACAGTGGTGTTTGCAATTGGGGGTCCAAGCAACTTGACTTGATCTCCCGCAGTACGCCATTGAAAGTGGAATATGAGGTTCCATGGCGTATCTGGAAGTCATTGAATCGTTCGCATACATTGTCAGGAGTCTTCCTTTCTCTCCTCTCTTCTCCCCGTCTGTTCTGTTCTGTTGTGTTCTTTTTAGTTTTTGTGTTTCTGCTTGTTTGTCTTGACCAGGTGGAAGGTATGTAGCCTTTCTCAGTGTCTTTGGTTTCCGCCTCAGGCGACAAACATCTGGCTTGCGGTTCCCGCTCCTTGTTGGCCAGGACTTTGCCTTGGGAAAGATTTTCTCGATGACAAGATTGAGATTGGATCCGGATTAATGGTAGTATGAATGTGGAACAGGATGGGACACCAAAACAGGGGAGATCCAATATATAGCTTTGAACGTATATTGAACGTATCAGCTTGTGACAGTCTCTGGGTCATGTCCGCAGAGCTGCTCAAGTAGCTATTAGTTACTAGCAGCTTGAACTAAGCAGTCTCGGGGGAGTCCCGGAAAGCAAAAAACATCTGCAAAAGGCTTTGTGTTTCCCTCACTTGGCAGCTCTGACCCGCTGACCTGCTCTGCTGGCCACAGCCATGGACCCTTCGATGCCAGCGTCTTCTTTGTCAAAGAGACATCAGCGACTTGCCTTGGATCCTGAAAAGATTGACATTCATGGCAGCCGTCCGGGCAGCAAGAAACGAGAAGGCTTCACAGCAGAGCAGATCGCAGAGTGCAGAGAGCTCTTTCAGATCTTTGACAAGAATGGGGATGGAGAGATTGACAAAGGTGAATTTCTGCCAATGATGAAGGCACAATAGCTGGATGGTCAAAGAGTCATTTTTTGTCGTTGTTGCTTCCAAGCAATTGCAGTTGCCCCCACCCAACCATATGGTAACAAATGCGTGGATACGTTCGCTTGACCTTTCTGTGCGTGCACGCGCAGCAAAGAGTGAATACGTGCAGGGGGGCGAGAGCTAGAGAGAGAGAGAAAGAGACAGACAGAGAGAGAGAGAGAGAGAGACAGACAGAGACAGAGAGAGAGAGAGCGAGGAAAAGAAAAGGAAAGAAAAGAAAAGAGAATGTGTCCAAACCATGGACCATGTTCATCATTTATTTGCCCGCATGCTATTGTTTGTGCCTGCATGTGCACAAGCCCTCCTATACACTTGGTCAGCATCGTCACGACATGTTGTTCTTCTGCAAGGAAAGGCAAATGCCGGCGATCCAGGGCTCCATCCTTTGCATTATATGATTCTTTAGATATCGAATGTCAAAGTGATTGCCCAGCTCGCCCCAAGTAGTTGGTTGACCTTTGCACTTAGAGTTGTGAGTTTTCTGCCAGGCACTGGGCCTGAACCTGTCCTTGCAAGAGCTGGAGATGTTTTTCCACCGCATGGACTATAATGGCGACGGCAGTGTGCAATTGCCAGAGCTGGTCACTTTCCTGGAAGGCTGAGACATTGTGCTCCTTGAACGTCATCGTGTCTATATTGTCTATACCTATCATTCTGAAAATATGTATTTGATAAGTGCTTGTCTTGGGACTGTCAACTTGCTTAATGAATCAGGTGGCCGTCAACATAGGTCCACAGATGAGAATGTCTACAGAGTCGATCAGAGTCTACAGAGTCGGTCAGAGAATGACCTCACCTGAAGTTTGAAATCAGTTGAACTTGGAATGTGTCTCAGCCGTCTTTGGAAGGCATCTCGCAGCCGATCAGTTTGGAGCAAGAACTGCAAGAGGCCTTTGGATTCTTCGGCCCCGAAAGCCTAGACATCAGCGCGCAACTTCGAAGCAAAAGGAAGCCTTCTTTGCTTCCACAGAAGCCTTGGTTTTCCATGTGTTTCATGTAAATGATCATGATGATGAGGTCGCGGTGGTGGTAGCCGCATAAACAAACCAAGGCACCAAACCCAAATGTTCACTCTGGGCGCACCGGCCATCCCTACACCAAAAAATACCCATCAGCAAGGGACACAGTATGCAGCCACTCACTCAGCACAGCCAAGCAAAGTGACAAAAAGTAAAAAGACGTGAAACACCAAGACCGAGCCATCACCCTAGACTGGCATATAGCCGTCTGATAGATGTCCCACTGGGAGTCTGGCAAGGACATGGCAGCCTGGCCGTCACTCCCGCGGGATGTCTAAGGCCCTGACCCGCGGGACAAACAAAACCCGGCCCGCGTTTGCATCCCTGCTTGCACATTCAGCAGCTATCATTCCCCCTGTCTTGCCGTTTCGTCTTGTGCCCTCCAGATCAGCCACGAGTCACCACAGGAAGACACCGTGGGACCCAAAAAACGGGAAACCAAACCAAGTCACGACCCAACCAGTTCACCCACAACAACGTACGGGTCAGTCACGTTGTTCCAGACCGGTGGCCAAAGGAAGAGTTGACCCAGGGGGACAACTCAACGTCCCTTACGCCGAAACCGGCAGGAGTCGCGTGCTCCCGTTCTCCCTATAGACCAATTAAACAAACATCGAGAAACCAACCCGGTGAAAACTGGAGAAACGCCGGACCCGAAGGACCGGATTGGGTTCGCCCCTGTCATCTGTAAAGGTTCCAACCTACAACCCAAGATACCACTTACAGACAAGGTTGCCCCGGTGGCGGTTAGGTGGAGGGCTGCATGCATTTTGCCACCGATGTAAATGATCATGGGGCATCGTTTGCACATAACTCCCAGGAAAGATACCGTCACGGCGATCCATCCTAAAGGCCTTGCACAGATCTTTGCAGAGATGGGTGAGGACATCTCAGAGCTTGAGTGCAGAGAGATGATCTCGGCTGCTACTGGGGGTAAGGAACCACAGCCGCAAGTCTTTGTGTGTGTGTGTGGTGTGGCTTTAGCATTTTTTTTGCATATATATATATATATGAACCCCCAAAAACATGTCGCAGATTGCCCATCTTCGTTAATGAGCTGGAATTACACAGAAACAGGCCTTGCCTGTGTTCAGCACAGATAGGCGAACAGCCTTCTGGGCTGCGAAGCTGAGGAGTGGATTGACTTCAAGACCTTCCAACGCTTCTGCAAGGCTAAGAAATAGCCAAGCTTGGAACGAAAACCACTGCAGTTTCATGCATTAGGCAGCTGCCTTGGCGCTGGTTTCACACCCTGTATCACCTGTCCTTGAAAGTGACAAAAGGAGGGTGCCCTCGGATTCTTGCGTGAGTTGTCACCCTCTCTTGTCTTCGTTTTGTTAAAGCGGGATTAAAAGGGATGCTCCTATGCCATGACCGGTTAATGCCTGCAGATCACTGCAGGACCATCACCGGGGTTCAGGGAGCCGTGGGCTTGGATTGGCCAAAGCATAGTGGTTCGAGTAGAGGACACGAGCGAAGTGAGAACCAAGGTTAGAAATCACACTTTGAGGACTGGCTGTGCAAGTGTGCACCTATACAATCCCGTTCATTTAAACAGACTCAATCTGAATTCTGTCCTGTGTTCCCAGATTGCAACTGGACTCAATGCAGCACGACTGCGGGCACGACTCAAAGTGGTAGATATTCTTCCTAGTGCAATTCTTGTCATGGAGGACGCGAAGAATGGGCCCCTTCTGCCTGGTCGACGTGACCATCGTGGTCGATGCTCGAATTTCAGCGTCAGCAGCCTCCATGATCGCAGAGGTGAGCCAAAGGCATTAGCAAATCAATACATTGTGTCTACTTTTTGTGTCGTGACACTAGGGCGAAGCCAATGGATGCCCATGCAAAAAATGCTTGCTTGTGCAATTTTGATGCTTTCTACTTTGTGCATTTGAACGAGACCCGTCTTTCCGCGCAGTTGGTGCATGACCATGTGATTCACGATTTCCGCCCCACTGTGACGGATGCCAGCAGAACTCAGAGGGCTCGTTGCAGTTACAGCCAGTTGAAGGGTGGGGTCGGATTTGCTTGGTTGTGAGGGTGTTCGACTTCTTCGCATGGTCGCGTTCAAGGTTTTAGTGCATGTAGATCCAGATGGAAGCCCGCAGCACACTCAGGTTATTTGTTTGTGTGTTTAGTGTGTTGTGCCTTCCTTACAGTTTACAGGCATGTTTAGTGCAAGTAGCACTTGGGTCAGTAGGTGGTGTTGAGAAGCGTTTCATCCATCACGGTCCATCACGTATCATCTGCAGCTGAGAAAGACTGCAGGCAGTCACATCGGCTGGAGACCCATTCTGAGGTACAGAGAGCAGTCGGCGGGGAGGATTCCTCCCAAGATTTCGGAAATTCAGTTGATGTTTGATGTTCCTACTAGACTTGGCAGCGCTGCTCGGGAACCGCACTGCTCGCCGTTTCAGACATCACATGTTGGGCTGTTGTTTGGAAGGCTCCTTCCAATGACCAGGCAAATACGATTGCAGAGCAGGTTGAGACCCTCGACATGCTCAATCCTGAGGATGCCATTTGGCTGTGCCACTGTGGTTAAGTACGGGCATTTGTTCGCATATGCGGCATATGCATATACTTTTTTTATCTTTTTTTAATTTGTATATTTATATGTATATTATATATATATATACACGTGTGTGTGTGTGTTCATGCACAATCGCTCACACGACGATTGTCATGAAGATTCGGCAAGTGCATGGAAGATATTGTTTCTTTGTTTGTCCTCCTTCTTTTGTGTCTCAGATTTGATGATCTGTTCCAGATTCTTTCCAGGACATTGAAGCTCAAACTCGAGCAGCATTGCTTCAGGATCTCAGCTGTGCATGAATGTGCATGATGTTCAGCATGCAAAATTGTTGGATGACCTTTGAGGACGCAGGAGATCCGGACCTTCCACAGATCATCGAGGTCACTGAGCTCCATATCTACTATCACATGGAGGAACGTCAACAGAAGAGGGTGGGACGGATGGCTATAATGGATGCAATGGTGGATGAATATGGATGCCATGTTTGGAAATATTTGGATTGGATTTCTGTTGGTCTCACATGCTCAGCCTTTGTGCTGAAAAGTGCTTTTGATGATGGCTCAAGTTACTTTAGTGGCAGTGGAAGATGCCACCTTGTCCAACAGGACTCACCTATATATATAATTTGTCTATATTTGTGTGGCTCTTTGATTGCACGGTGATATTGCACACTGTTCACTTCCAGGGTGTTGCTTGAACATTTGCAACTGCATGCACCCAAAGTGTAATGGATTCAAACCAAAGCAGCACCTCAAGCGACCAACTGGCCGGCCATGCTTGGCCAAGAGATCTACTTGTAGATTGTGGTAGCTTCATGCGCTGCCGCTGGTGGTGCTGGCTTGCTGGGCCACATGTTGTGAGTGCGACCGGGTTGAACTTGGGTGTGGCAGTGGAGTCGGTGCGGCGCAACAATGAAGTGCAGCCTCCTCAGTTTTGGACGCGCAGCAAGTAGCAGGATGTGATTGAGTGGGCATCAACTTAGGCAGTCCAACTACACCGACGGAACTGCAGAGACCTCAAGACGTTCGGGTTTTACAACTGCTTCATGCTTGAAGTGGTAGGAAGATCGAGTGGCAGCTTTTGTTGGAGGGCCGGGCACTTTGGCCTTCTATCAAACGGGGTTTGAGTATGTTTGAGCAAGCTTGGCATTTGGTGGGCCAAGGCTGTTGCAGTGACACAGAACAAGGGGCGAATGAAGGGCCATGCTCTCAAAACTTCACGTATTTGGAAGTGAGGAAAGTGTCCAAAACTGGATTTGCGTTGTGAAAATCCGCATTTGCTACGTGTGTTCCATTCATTGCCAAATCTTATCAGAAGTGTTCATTGTGTTTATTTTGAGGCGAAGATGTGGTGGTTACGCCCGGTAGCAATGGGGTGTTCAACATCACGCTTCTCATGGATGGTGCTTGGGCGAAATGCCAAGTTCGTCTCACCACACATCATCAGACCCTTTTGTGCATACAGTACTTTGCTGCGTTTATGCCAACAATTTTCTGTGTTGTGTGAGGCAGCACGCATCAAGTAAAGCATGTTTTACAGCAATTTTAGTCGTCACATGCTGTTCTGGATTCTGCCCATTGGCTGATGGCACTGCGCACTTCGCAACCGGTCCTCGTGTGCGAAGGTCATGGCGGCCAGAGCATTATGAAGCGAGCAGTTGAATTGCAGAAGGACCCAGAATCAAATCAAGGGACTCAATATGACTGCAATGCTGAAGGAAAGCCAAGGACCAGTAAGATCAAGTCGTGGGGACACATTCAATTGGAAGGCGTTTAAGGTTGTCAAGACCTGGCAAGACAACATAAGACACCTATATACTTTCAGTGTACTTACTCATTATATACTTGAATGTGGGCCTTTATTTTTGGAGATGTCCTGAAACAGGACTTCCTGGAGGCCTGCGGTGCGCGCAAGGATTGGCCTGGTTGTGCTGCTGTCGCCTTAGGGCACTTCCAGGCTCCTCATGGCTCATCTCATGTGTTTCCCGAATGCGTAGCGAAGGGTTCTCGTTTAACTTGGGAGTCTGAGGGTAGAGCTGTGTTTGCCCGACGTTGTTTTCGAGTTCGCAACCGTTTGCAACCGTCCGCAACCGTTTGCAACCGTCCGTACGATGTCTCTATGGCCCTGCCATTGGGGGAAGCTTTTGCAAGTGACTTTTCATGGATGTGTCACGTGTCAGTTTGCGCCGCTATTACATTGTGATTTGCATGAAAGTGACATGTCGCGCAAGAAACGTGATGCATTTCGCTGCACAGGTGCAGGGTTTCGTGAAAGTGACACGTTTGTGTCGGTATTTCATTGGGATTAGCGTTTGGAGAGTCGTGTTTTGGGGGTGTTGGATGTGGCCGTGCCATTGGGGTTTGCGTTTCAGGGTGTGGCATCGAAGTGCTGTTTTCGTGACAAGTTTCAGCTGAAATGGTGATTTTGGTGGATGGGAGTGTGTTCAGAACGGGCCGAAGTCATTCCAAACGTGTGGTGTGGTGCAAATTTTGTTGAAGCTCACATGAGGTGACATTGCCACTTTTCGTGGCAGGCGCAGTACCTTGTGCGGGCTTTGAGGTGTGGAAGTGCGATTTTCGTGGCAGGCGCAGGGAATCGTGAGGCTGCGATGTGTGACGGAGGTGACATTTCGTGGCAGCCGCAGGACTTTGTGCGCGTTAGACGCGTGGACGTGGAAAGATTCGTGGCGGGCGCAGGGAATCGTGAGGTTGTGAGTTGTGGTAGAGGTGAATGTCGCTGTGACATTGGGATTGGCGTGTGAGCGGATGTTGTTTGGAGGGGCTGGAATCGCGAAACTGCTTGGCAGGGCTGCGCGATGGGTGTGCTCCGATGCATTTTGGAGACTTGTCGTGTGACTTTTGGAGGAAGTCTCGTACGAAACGCTCCCACGTCGGAAAGTGACATACCTGGCAGGAAAAATGTCTAGCAAAGAGTGTCAAGAAAGAGTGTCCAGCAAGAGTGTCTAGCGAAGAGTGTCCAGCAAGAGTGTCTAGCAGAGTATCAAGCAAGAGTCCC